TATTTGGCGGTCTGTGGAGACGTTTTCAATTGCATAATTTGCTAACGAAGAGACCCAATCAAATCTCTTGTTTACTTTTTATCGTCCATGCTAACACAGAAGCAATTATTCTATTTATAAGATTCCAAGATCCAATGTTTTTTCTTATCCTAATTAAATTTTCCCTTTTCGGCGGGATATTGTACAGACAGACAGACAGACTTTTCTTATTCGGTATCAAGTATTAGTATATACATAGACATTTTACCCGAATAAATGTATGAAGACTATAATTGTTGATTTATTGATGGTTTTCACGGCTGCCATGTTGGATGAATTTAACAACAAAGATTCGTCAATAGTCTCTTTTGTTATATCATCCAACATTGCCGCCGTGTCTTTTGTTATTTCATTTTCTTGGGAATGATTGAAAACCATCAATAGTAATTTCTATTATGTTATAATGAATTCGCCTATTTAAATTAGTTGGTATAGTTACTTTACAAAATGACTGGGATAGTGTGCGAGCGCTACGATTGGTCGAAAACCATGTTTGATGAGGCATCAAAACACGCTCGCGTTATCCATTACAAATACATCAGAATATAACGTTTTTTTTTTTGCGTGTTTGTTATTTTATAAAACAGATCAAAAAACAGTTTTCCGTGTTTGGTACTTTGATCAAAACACTTGGGATTTTGGGAGAACACTCGAGAAGCTGCTAGAAACCACTCCGCTACTCGTCATGGTTTCCTACGCTCCTCTCGTGTTCTCTCAACATCCCAAGGGAGCACATTAAAATTTTGTTTGTGTAAAGAAAGTTATTGTTCTTGGTTGATCTATCTAGCGCGCGCAATCCATCATGTGACAGTCGTTCCTCGTAGTGTTTTGGTTTCGGCCGATCCGAATGGCTTACGATCGCGTAAGGAAGGGAATGACGTCGCTCCGCTCCTCGCAATATATTCGTCGGTTTTCGGAGTAAATTCGCTAGCCCGACTAAAGCAAGGAACGCCTGCCATGAAGTGTTGCGCGCGCACATAAACAAGAACTACAAGGAACAACTGCTATATCTTAGAATACGTGCGATAAAATCGAAGATTAACCAACCCAATCAAAATTTTAACGTGCTCCCTTGAACATCCCGAGTGTTTTGATCAGAGTATCAAACACGGGAAACTGTTTTTATCTGTTAACTTATTGCCTAGTTTGGGTAAGAAGACCACACTCTATATTAATTCTGTGTTGTATGTGATCTTTTTATAAAGCAGTTATGGACATATTTTGCTACTGCTACTGCTATCATTTTGGGTGGACTCATAATTAGCAGAAACAACTCATTCTCATTTGACAAAAGAGAATCAAGTCCTTGAAGAGTTCTTCCCTTGGATTTGAATATAGTGCACAGTGAATAAGTAAGTGCCTCTCATCTTCTGCACTATCTGGGAAATAGAAGCACCTCCTATCTTCTGGTTTTTATTCCCTTGAATGTCTTTCCTTTTCGATTTCAAGGTCGTGATTACTAATTCTCAATTTGCTAAAATATTTTCTGTGTTCAAAATTTTTAACTTCGATGAAATAATTTCCAAACGAGTAATCTGTTTTTTCCGTCCACACATGAAAACGGATACACTAGTCCGATCAGAGGCGGCAAAAACGTTTCATTGCACATCTGAGCATGTGCATCGAAGCTGAAATTAAGCCTGCGGTGAATTTTAAGCCTTCCCGCCATGTTCCCATGACAATCATGACGTCATTGTAACGAAATATTTCGGATACGAAATGTTCTCCATCCACACTAATACGGCTGGCCGGCGTTTTCAAATTGTTCCACTCTGGAGA